TTACAGACAGGTGACCCACCAACCAGGAACCAAACGTCGTACCTGGGCGAGGTTTACCTGGTCAGTCATCCTGGGATAGTGATCACCGAAGTCAGTTTACCTTGTTGATTCGTTTACCAGTCGAGGGGTGGCAGAGAAGGCAAAAAAGGAAGTCAAGAAACCCTCTAGCAAGATCTCAGGGCTCAGCCATTGCATTTCCAATGGAAACCAATCATGGCTGAGGTGTAACCTGTGGGTTTCATGGTTTCTTGGGCCAACGCAGTGTATTTCCGCCACTGAAACCATCAAACCGCTTTGGGGACTGTGAAAGGGATTCTCAGTCCTGTTGTCAAACTATACTTCCCAGGGTTCTTTGAGGGAAGCCATACTGGCTAAACTAAAGCTAATGCTGACTTAAAATGGGGCTGGGTGAACATGGTGCCAACACTTCTGTCTTCCCGCCGGCACTCTCTGGCCATTTTTCTGTCTGGCATACTGTGCAGACATGCTCGCAAAGAGGTGGGGTCGTGGCTCAGTGACAGGGCATCTGCTTCACGTGCAGAAAGTCCCCAGTTCAGTCTCAAAGGATCGGGGAGCCGTTCGTTGGCATTCCCTGAAGAGCTGCCGCCCGTCAGAGGAGACAAGATCAATGGCCAATGGCCTGTCTCATTGGTCTGACTCAACAGGAGGGAACTTCATGGAAGAGGAGGTGGACGTGTCAGACTGGTTGCCCGAGCCACCCAAAGCAATGCTTCCTTGTCTGGGATGTCCAACCAAATGCATCAGAACAAAGTTTGAGTCCAGCGGCACCTCTAAGGCCAGCAGAGTTTTATTCAAGGTGCAAGCTTCCATGTGTGCGCACACTTCATCAGACACAATACAAGAAACCAACCAAATGCACGTCCCCTGGAAATATTGCCGTGCACAAGATCTGCATTCAGATGTACACCTTTCCCAGGTTGTGGACATACTGGCTTCTTCCCTCCTGTGTCTTTCTTCATGTGGAGTGCGGCACTTCATTCCAGGTCATTCTGTTAGCCACACCACCTTGTAGGGTTACCAACGTCCCAGTGGGGCCTGGAGACCTCCAGGAATTACAGTTGGTCTCTGTATTACCGATCCCAGTTCCCTGGGAGGAAATGGCAGCTTTGGAGGGTGGTCTGTGTGGCATCCCATCCATGCTGAGCACCCTCTCCTCACCCAATCCCACCCTTCCCAGGCCCTGCCCCCAAATCTCCAGGAATCTCCCAGCCCTGAGTTGGCAACCCTACACTTGACAGCCCTTTTAATTCAAGACCCCCTTGGGAGAATGGACGGGTCCTCTTGCAGGGCCAGCACGGAAGGCGCTCTTGCACATTTCCCATCACAAGACCAATTTAACGGGTTTCTTCTCGCAGATCTTTCCCCTGTGCGCATTTGCTGACCCGGTGGAAGCGGATGGATGACCTGGATTCTTTGGGAGAAGCTGTGGACAGAGGCTTTGATAATCCAATGTTCGACACGCCACCCAGCCTTGCGGTAAATCCTTTGTCTTCTGTATCTTTTCCCATCCAAATGCAACAGTGGCTCGCTTCCACACAGTGTGTTCTGAGAGAGAGAGAGAGAGAGAGAGAGAGAGAGAGAAGGGGAGCACACTGCCATATATGCCAGCTGAAAGCTAAACTACAAGTGACAGCGAGCAGGGGTTCATTCTGTGGTCACTAGGGTTGCCAGGTCCTTACCTTATGCTGGTGGGGGCTCCAGCCCGTTCCCCTGGAACTGACATCATCATGCTATGCACGTCATGCAGGGGACACTCTAGCAATTGGCCAAAAGCTCTATGGTCAACACAGAGTTTTTAGCCAAATGCTAGAGCGTCCCCCCACGTGACGTGCCTGCCGCGAAGACCATAGACCATCATCACGCTGGGCATATCAGGCACGGTGGGGCTCTTTGGAGGTGGGGCTCCCTCCACCAGCCAGCTGGAAGGTGGCGGACTGGGGGCCCCGACATTGGGGGGGACACTGCCCCCATCGGGGGGATGGCAACCCTAATGGTCACCAGCGCCATTTTAGAAGCATTTGTAGTTCTTTAGAAATTGTCATAAGGCCCTGATCCAGTCTGGATGAATGGTAGACCCTTGTCCCCCCCCCATACACACACCTTTTCAGGTGCAGCAACAGCCCCCCCCCCGTGGCTGTCCTGACACTTGAAAATGCGTGTGGGGGGGGAACAAGAGCTCCTGGGGCTGACATGCCATGCACCTGATCTAGACTGGGGCCTTGTGGCAATTTTTAAAGAACTACAAAGGCTTCTAGAATGGTGTCGGTGGCCACAGGATGAACCCGGGCCCACCATCACTCGTAGTTTCTCCCTAAGTCTTGAAATGTGGATACTGCATCAGTAACTTAATCAGAAGAGCCTTGGGTGGGAGCGGGGCAGGAAGTCAGCAGCATTTCCATGTTTTAAGAAATAATATTTAGTGCAATAAATTATCGACTGTTGAATTTCAAGTAAATCCTCAGAGTTTGGGGGCAAGGTTTAAGCTGATTTGCCACATGGGGAGGGATATTTAAAAGTAGAAGCAGAGCCCTATTTAAAAACAGAAGTAGGGCCAGTTTGGTGTAGTGGTTAAGTGTGCGGACTCTAATCTGGGAGAAGTGGGTTTGATTCCCCACTCCTCCACATGCAACTGCTGGATGATCTTGGGCAAGCCATAGTTCTGTCAGAGCTATCTCCGCCCCACCTACCTCACTGGGTGTCTGTTGTGGGGAAGGGAAAGGAGATTGTAAGCCGCTCTGAGAGTCCTTCGGGTAGTGAAGGGCGGGGTATAAATCTGATCTCTTCTTCTAAAAAATAGAATTTAATAGATGGCAATGGCAGGCAGATACTAGGGTGGGGTGGGGGGCTGTTGTCACCTCCCTGGGGTTTGTTAAGCTGTCCTATCTAGTGTCAAATTTGAATAAATTGAAGGGAATTTGCTGGCTGCCGTTATCACATGATAGCCCACTCTCATAACCGCTTGCAAAAACCAGAATTTCCCCACCTGTAATTTATCCCCCTTGCCATTCCTATCCCTCTCCTCTCCTTAGAGAATTATAGACAGCAAATTAGTCCTTTCCTAAACATAAACCATGGAGAAGAGAGAGGTGGAGGGACATAGGAGGTGTATGCAGGCCAGTTATTGGATGGCTTGGCCCAAAGGCCAATGTGGGAGGAGGAGGGAAGGAAGAGACCCCCGAAGTTCAGACACTGGGCCTTCTCTGTCCTGAAAGGCCTACAAACCCCTCTTTCAAGCAGGGCTGGCAAACTCCAGGTGGGGCCATAGGGCTGCCACCCCCAGCTGTGTCCTGGAGCAATCCCAGCAGTGC